GTTTAAAATATATTAGTGGACCTGTAGCCTGTTGTGGGCATAACCACAGTTCTCAAAGAGAATATAACACACAACTAGAAATTGCCTACCATTTTCTTTCATTGCAGACAAGCCCAACACAATTCGGGAGATGTGCTTGGAACTTCAATCTGACAGTGCCTATAGAAGGTGGTGGTACTGGGAATCAACTGAGTGCCTGGGCAGTTGTTACTGAAGCTACTGTCACATCCCAAATGCTTAGAGGCAGAGGAGATCCTGAGGTGCAGGCTGGTCAGTCACGTCCCCGAGCACGGGGATGTGGCGAGTAATCACACTGGAGCTCACGCTGCCATCTTACCCTTTCTTCCTGCCCCCTTCCTCCACAACTCGCTGTGGCCCCCACTCTTCAGATGGAGTTCTGTGTGGGGGCCCTACCACCCTCCTGCGCCCACCTACTCGACTGATACTTTCTTTTCAATATAACCTTTCACCTCACTTTCTCCCAGAAACCCTCCCTGACCCCCAACCCCCCCCCCCCAAACTGCATGGGAACCTCTCCTGAGCTTTCCACCGTCATTTGTTTATATATGTGTCTTTCCCCCATTACACTGGGAGCTCCTTTAAAGACTAGTGTTTGCATATTCATCTCTGCTCCCAGAACTAACACTGTTCAAAAGGACTCAGTAAATGTTAACTTGACTGATTACTTGAATGAACGGATGAATCCTTCCCCCTCTCCATCTCTCAAAACTCCACGATGTTGGAAGCTGGAGCTATTGTACTTTACATCTTCCTAGACCTAAGAGACATTTGGGGTGAGGAGCCCTGCTGACAGATGATCCTCTGAGTTCATCTGAGCAGAACACTCTAATCCCATCCCTGCCCCACAGACACAGTGCACCATGGGCTGAATGTTGGTGCCCTCCACCATTCTGTGTGACAGTACGGGAGGTAAGATTTACTAGGGTTAGACCAGATCATCACAGGGGAGCCCTCATGAAGGGGTCGGTACCCTTACAGAAGAGGAAGAGACACAACATCTTTCTCTGCCACGCGAGGGTACGGAGAGAAGGCAGCCATCCGCCAGCGAGTCCTCGCTGAACAGAATCAGCCAGCAGTTTGATCTTGGACTTTCAGGCCTCAGAACTGTGAGAACTAGATGTCTGTTGTTTCAGCCACTCAGGCTGGTGGCTTCAGTAACTGTTACAGCAGCCCGAGCAGATGAAGACAGAAATTGGCACTGATGATGGGGCACTGTAACAAACACCTAAACGTGTGGAAGCACCTTTGGAAGCGGGTAATGAGTAGAGGCCTGAAGAGTTTTGAGGCGCTTGCTCCAAAGAGCCGCCGCTGGCAGGAAAGGACGGGGAAAAGTCATTCTGGAGAGTGCTCACTCACACCATGTGGGAGCAGCTGCCTCGGCCGCCTTCCTCTGAAGGCTCTGGGGTCTGCTCATAACGGTGCTTCTGCTCTGTGACATGGAAGCCTGTGTTGGCAGCGAGGGCCAAAGTGGAAGGACTAAAGGCCTGGGTCCTCCCCGTGCCGGTGGCAAAGACTGGCTTCTCAGGTTCAGCTCTGGAAGGAGGAGAGGGTTCTGGAAGGCCAACTTGGCATCTGTTAGCAGTTTGGAAAATAGCAGATTTAAAAAAAAAATTTTTTTTATCTTTAATTTTGAGAGAAAGAGAGACAGACAGAAAGACAGAACGTGAGCAGGGGAGGGGCGGAGAGAGGGAGACAAGAACCTGAAGCAGTCTCCAGGCTCCGAGCTGTCAGCACAGAGAATGATGCAGGGCTCGAGCTGAGAGAGTATGACCTGAACTGAAGTTGGGCGCTTAACTGACTGAGCCACTCAGGCGCCCTAAGGAAAAGAGAACATTTTAAACAGAGAGAGAAATCTCCTGGGGGAAGGAATCCCGTAAGAGGTAAAAGTGGGGAGAACTGAGAGAGAGGACAAGGAGCTTGTTTGAAGTTTGAAAGGGAGACATTTTGTTGTGTGGTGTTTTGGGGGAGTTGTTGCAGAAAATGGTTCAGGCCCACTCAGACCCTTTGCTGGTCTTTCCTGCCACCGAACCCCACCCTCCAACTTGTTACAATGCGTGTAGTAATCCAACAGGTAGTTGCTGTCTCTTTATGGTGCGTTCAGCATTGTGCTAAGCCTGTGGGCCGCACAGAAAACACGGGAGACTCAGCTGAGTCCTCAAGTTGTTTGCAGCTTCGTGGAAGAAACAAGGCTGACTTGCGTGCAAACAAGCATGAAAACAACACCACACAACACTACGTGGTACAGTTTACAAAGTACCCTAGACAGTGGTTCTTTGCTGTGTCTCAGAATCACGTGGGAGAACTTTTAAAAATCTCGAGTCCAGGCCCTACCCCATATAAATGATATCGGAATTTCTGAGAGTGGGACCCAGACATCAGTGTATTTTAGTTTCCTGGGTGATTCCAACATACATCCAAGTTTGAGAAGCCATGCTAAAGAGCGTTAGCTGTAACTGAAAATAATCTGAGCTGTCCATTCATTAGCTCTGTATCCTGGGACTGGCCAATGAGTATCTACCTAGGGGGTCTGGCTACCCCAGAGATTTTTGTAAGTCTCATGAAAGATACTTTAGATCCCAAAAGATCAGCTTAATGACTGATACACAGAAGGTAACCAAAAGAGATGTATTTACTTAAATGAATAATATAGAGGGAGCTAGTCAAGCTTGCAAATACATTTCATTAACAGTACATTACTAAACATACATTAATAATAGTACTTTTGTGAAAGATCGTTTAAAGATCAGCAATAATGGCTGTGGTATCAGGTTCCAAGGTATATGATAGAGAGAGCCCCAGTGTTTAACATGATGGCTATACCTAATGGTGCTCTACACAGGTCTGTTAAACTGACAGGTGCCTTGGGTGGATTAGAAGAATCAAGAGCAAAGCTTTTTCATTCACCTTGGGAAATTGCCTACCCCGTTGCTCTGGTCCCTGTTCATCTATCCAAGTACCAGTGAGACGTCAAGCCAATAAGCCATATGGCAGAGGTTCAGAAATGTATAGAGGATTAGAGAAGGAGAAGGAAAGAGAAAAGGCAGGAGGAGGAGGAGAGGGAGAAGGAGGTAAGGAGTCCCAGGAAGGACAGCAGAGCAAGAGTGTGACAACATTAACGGGGAGGGATGTGGGAGAGGTTGGAAATGTGAAGAGTGACCGAAGAGACACTGGATGGGCACAATGGATCAAGGAGAGGAGGTGACAAGAAAGGTTTTATATTATGATGACTTGAAGGTCCCAGGAGATGGAGGCAGAGGAGAGAGGGGGTTGGACTTATAAAAGGTCGCTGATTAACCATAAGAATTCAGAGACCGGGGATATATAACCCACCAAGAGCATGTCAGGTTTTACTTTCCTGACACTTTGAAAGTCTGCAGGTTGTTAAATTGCCTCCCATTCCTGAAAAAGCCTGGGCAGGCGGCTCCCTCTGGGACTCGCATTAACCCTCGTGCTCCACTGCCAGAAACATGAGCTCATTCCACTCGTCCGTCTGCAGTCCTAGCAAGCACGATCAAACTTTATGAGGCTTGTTACAAGCAAATTACATGGGAAGCTGCAAAGGATCGGAGGGAGGGGGACAGCGGCGGGGGGCCAAGCACACTGCCGGGAAAGGGGAGCAGGGGTAGGGATGCTGGGCGCAGCCCAGACTTGGAAGGCACCGGAGCCCATCACTGAGCAGCTGGCAGCTCCTGCCTCTGGGGCCCAATTTTCCAAGTGAGGACTTGAGTGTTCACACCTGCACTGGCTGGGACCGATGCTCTCCTGCCACAGAGTTAATGGAGCAAGCAGAACCCAGGAATGCTCTCAGCCACAGCAACGATTTCTCTCCTCCTTGGCCCCACCTTCTCTGCTGGCACAGTGGGTTTCTCTCCAGCTCTATGTCAGCTAGCTTCTCCTTCCAGACGCCTCTGCTGCTGAGGTGTGCAGATGTCCCAGCAAGATGGCATCAGAGGGGCCTGCTCCAAGGCACAAAGAATCCCGGCACTTTTTTCCCCTTAGTGGAGCAGCTGGGTCTCGCCTCCTTCCCAATTAGCTTCCTCCTCCGCTTCCCAATATACAGAGCCCAAACTATTTAACATGTGACTTTTTCTTTCTGCGTTATGTGAGATTGGACAATTCCTTTTTTTTTTTTTTTTGCTTCCCCTAGTGCATTCTTCTGGAAACAGCCTGGGTGTGGAATAACAGAATATCCCAGGAGCTGGGATTCCTGTGGCTCTGTGTGGCTCCTACAGAGAGAAGCACAAAATTTTGCTGCAGAAAATTTTGCTTAAACCCTTTGCCATAGCAATGGCTGCTTGGAGGGTTTCCATCACCAGGGGTCCTTTCTCTTCAGTGCTGGATCCCTGTGCTCGCACGCACATACATGCTCACTCAGAATCTTGCTGAAACGGACCAACCTGGAGTGTGCAAACAGGCCCTATGCTGTTTGGACAATTCAGGAGGTGGGTGCAGGGTATGTTCAACCCCGGGCAGGGATCTGGATGGATGCCTTAGACCAACCTGAATGCAGGAAGCCAAGGAAGCAAAGGAAGGATGCTGTGTGCATGTTGTTATATAAATTTCTCTCCCAGCACTGCCCGAGGTGGTTAGATGCTGTTTCCATCCAATGGGAGCTCCTTAAGCTCTCCCACTAATGCTGGAAAAACATTCACTTAACAGTCTTGTCCAAACAATTCTTCTTTTAATTCAGACATGATGAGCTGCAGGGGGGGAGCGGAGCCCCAGGGCTGTCCGCCTCAATACCATCACTCCTGACAGGGCACAGAGCCACATGTTCACCTCAGCGGTCCATTAAAAAGCCTGATGGGGGAACTGCGTTTATGGTCAGGTTACAGAAACAGGCGGGAAGCAACTAATGCTTTCTGCATTGCCCCGTCCTTCTGTTTTCTCTCCTTCCCAACACCCACACAACACGTGCCCACAAGCCCGACTGCATCGCTTGCCTGCACTGTAATGCTCTTTCAAAGGCTCCTTCTGACCCCCGCCCACCGTCTTGCACACTCTCCCTTGTGCAACGGCTCTCTCGGAGTGCCACGTGCAAGGAGAGACATCTAGTCACACACGGACCACGCATTCACACTGACGCTCAAATCACAGCTGCACCCACAGCCTCTTTCTGCTCTCAGCTGACATTCTTTCCAAACACCTTCACTTGCCATTTTGTCTCTCTGACCTTGAACCCGCTCCCATCTTCCTTTCTCACACAGTCTCTCAGCAGAACATCTCTGCTCTTCCCCCTTCCCCTGACCCAACCCTCCCCCATGGCTCTTCTCTCTGTCCACCTCCCAGTGGCCACATCAGCACCCCTTCCCCAGCACTCACAGGGGCTCCTGCACGAGGCAGTTTTAGAACTGTATTATTGTTCCCTCTCTCTTTCAATATACTCCTATCCTTCTAACTGAACTAGATTCCCCTGAGTTAAAAGCCTAACTTTGGATTATGTAACAAGTTCCTTGGGGAAAACATGAGGATTCAGCCAGTCACTTAGAAGTAAAGCAAACTGCCAAAAATAAATAAATAAATAAATAAATTAAAAAAAATGGCTAGTTTACCCAGGAACCTAATTAAAGAGAGATCTAGTTGGTGGAAAGTAGTGAAAATAAAGGCAATTCTAGGCTGGGTAACGTTAGTTTCTTGTCCACCAGCCATTCTGCAAGCATTA